TTTTTTTTTTTTTTTTTGATTTGATTCACATCCTTAAAACCTACGCTGCCTCATGTTTTCTTTCACTGACCCGTTAGTTCTTGCTCCTGCTAATAATGGGCTTTATCGGGGGTGAAAAAAGGTAGTAAGATACCTCCTGAAAGTCCCGTGTTGAGCTACGGCAGGTGAGTTAAGGTGACTTTGATGATTTATGCTGGTCCGGGGAGGGCGCTTTCCTCTCCAGGCGTGATGCGCCGGGGCCCGAGCCCGGGGACAGGCTCCTGTGTCCCTCTGTTCCGTCCTGTAAGGGGCAGGAACCAGTCAAGAGGAAGACACGGCTCTTCTCGCTGCTCTTTCCTAGTGATACGGTGACAGAGGGAAGCAGTGGGTTGTTCCCTTGGTTTCTGGAAGGCCGGAGCCTGGGAACTTGGGAGATTTCGGTGCTCGGCCAGAGACTTAACCTTGAGACCGAAACACCGCTGTGAGGTTCTACCTCTTGTCAGACGTGTTGGCCCAGTAAAAAGCAATACGTAACCGAGAAAGGCTCAGCTATTCCCGTAAGTCACCGGGCAGACAGGCGCAGGCAGCAAGGTTAGAAAAGTGCGCTCTGGTCTTTATTGCTCAGCCCCTGACCTGCACTTTGCACCCTGACTTAGCTGGAGTCCTTAAGATTCCTTGTACCTGGACTAGGCGCCTCTGAGAAACCCATATCAGCCCAAGCCACTTGGAAGGCGGAGTTTTTTACATATTCGAACATATGTGTCTGCTCTTTCCTAATAGCAGACACATATGCGCCCAGATCATAAATAGGACCTTCACGTGCAATAGAAAAGAAAAATATTCTGCTTTAATTTGCTTCATATACTGAGCCCATGGCAAACTCTGTGTTAACTATTGCCTCCTAGCCTGACAAATAAATTACATTCCATTTTCCAGGAGGCCGGTGGAACCTTTCTAAAAAGAGAGAGAAATTTAAAAGAATTATTTTTAGCCTACCCACTTCCAAAGAGATGCCATTTTTTATAATGAATAAGTTATATGTTGTGATTTTTTTTTTAATCTTGTGATGGAAATTCATGTTCTGATCTGCTGCATTTGGTTCTTAAGGGTCACCTTTTCTCTGAAGACTTTACGACACCCCTCCACACCTGTGTAGAACTGATCACTCTCCCTTTTTATGTCCCCATTTTACTGTCGACATACTTCTGTCCTAGGACCTGTGGCATCTTATTGTCCTGGCTAATTTACGTGCCAGTACCCGCCCCCCACGCTCTGTAAGTCCCTTGGGGCCCGGATCCTATCATCTCAGTCCTTGTATCCACAGCTCTGGGCTTACAGTAGGCAGTTAAATAGTTGTCCCCAAATGTGCCAATAAATGTTGATTTACTTTCTTCCAAACAAAGAGTAAAAAACGTCATTTGTTTCAAATACTTTTTGTCTAAGCCCCTCAGAGCCCTAGGTGGAAATTATTTAAGCCTTAGCTGGGGGATCTTTAGGCTCTTTTAAAATACCCGACTAGGCCGCGAGGGGCGGGTAAACTGGACACGGGAGTCAATGTTTGGTTAGCGCAGTTCTCATGCGGATGGAAGATCTCAGGAGCTTTGGATCCTGCCAAAGTCCCCCAACCGGAGCCTTGCTGTGCTATGTGCTGCCGTGGGAACCCACAGTGAGCCTGTAGCAAACCCCCGCCAGCCGGTGACCTGCTGCCAGGCCAGTGACAGTCAGTTTATACAGCAGGACGTGGCTCAGTAGGTTTTTACCTCGGCTCCCGGGGCCCCGTTTCTCCTGCGTCTCTGTGTGGTGCTCGGTTGTCCCTTTGGTCTTTGATTTGACTTTGCTCCAGATTTGGGTTCCGCTTCCCCTCCAGCATCTTGGCCTTTTCATTGTGGATCTCGTTTCAGTTTGACCCTCAACTTTTTTTTTTTTTCCCAGCTCTCTGTGTTTGCACAGCTTTTAGTATCTACGGGACTGTCATGAGCCGCTTCAACTGCTCAACTCGTTTCTCTCCCTGCCCCATCTAGAGGTGGAATTTTGCATCTTTTATGGCCTGGTGGAGAGCTGGTCCCCCACTTCTGCTGCTGGGAAGCACTGGGTGTCACCTGAGGCCCCCCCAAACACTGGGTTTAGGGAGTCAGCTCCCTAACTGTTCTATGTGCTGGACCCTAACGATGAAAGCAGAACTACTTTGTATCGTTTTCAGGAGTGTTGAGCATTCTGGTTTTTTTTAAAAGCATAATTATGAATAAAAGCCCTACTTGTATGCTCTCATATACATTTATATGTAGGTTATTAGTGAGCTTGTCTGTGTCTTCAGTCTAATTTTAGATGAGAAGACGTTTATTTTCCCCTCTTTCGGTAACATTAAGGTGCCGATGGATTTTGAGGAGTAAAAGTGAGCCCATTGGAGGGAAGATCTTTTCTGTGAGCAGATGACTTGTGATGTATCAGGCTTTTGCCATTTGTTTTAGTGCTTAAAATAAACATTATTTATAAGCCCACTTACATTCTGATGTTACTTAATGAGGACTATGCATCATTGATTTGACTAGCTTAGGAGGTCATTTGGAAGTTGCCCGTTAACAAGCTGTAATCTGCTGAGCACGCAACGGCTCTGTTTAAAATCATCCATTCAGGGCTGATCAATGACAATAATTGTTTTGTACCAATCGCTTCGGAAAGTTGCTAATTACTTTGAAGGACATGAATGCCAGCTTCGTATTTTTTTATTTTATTTTTGTTTTTTGGAAGTCTTAACTACGCACCTTAAAATCAAGAAGAGGTTGTTATCAAAAGTCATCTTGTCCTTTGAAAGTACTTTTCTAAAAAGTTAAGTTTATTCGCTAGTTCTGGGGCAGCAGCAGGAAACTGAGGCAGGATTCGGGACGTCTGGCTTGGCGGTGACCGAGGGCTGGGTTTGCACACGGACTCCGCCTGCCATTTACTTTTTCCTGGCTTACGGGATCTTGGTTAAGCTCCTGAGCCTCGGGTGCTTGTCTTTAACAGGGAGCTCATGCCCCATTCACAAGGGCATCTTGAGATACCCTGGGGATACCCTGGGGAGCGGCGGGCGCCACACCCGGCACGTGCAAGGAGCTCGGTCGTTTCGGACCCTTCACTTCCCTGGAGGGCACTGCCTTCGCCCAGGCAGGGGCTCCGTCTCCTCCAGCTCCGTTTACTGCCTGTCCTCTGGCAAAGCCACTTAAAGACGGATTGATTGTTAACCATCACGTACTCATAATGCTCCTGAACGCCCAAACGTGAGCAAAAGGAGGTGCCTTGGGAAGGGATTGCATCCCGCCTCTGGGTAGATGCCTGAGCAGTTAGGGCACCAGCGGGCTCCCGAGGGCAGCACACCTGTCGTAGGCTTTGCGGGCCTGGTCCCTGCGCTTTCCCGAGTTGCTCAGTTGGCGGGGGAAGGAGCCCCTGCCATTGGCTTCTGTCCGTTGCCTTCCTTTTGGCACAGGGTTTTCAGCTGCTCCTTCAGTCTTCTTCTCTCCAGCATGTTAGGATCTAATCGTAAACGA